TCCCTCCTCGGAATGCTCAGAAGGAGCCGATAAAATTCAGGTGTCGATAAAAAGCTGTTTCACTCTTTTTAACTGATTAGTTATTTTAATTTTATCGAAGGGACCCTAGGGGATTTTATAGAGCTCTAGAAGTGCTCATGAAATCTAGAAGACGCTAAGGTGAGAGCTATCTCATATTCACCCTAAAATTGGTCTAGCTTTAAGAATGACTCTGTAGTCTAGGTCTGACTAGTATTCTACCCTGGCCGATTCAATAAAACGAACCCGTCTTACAATTTATAATTATCTGACGAAAGTGGGTAATAAATGAATGTAGGCATACGGCATACGTACTATGATTAACTGGAAAAAATATACTGTAATATAAAAATATAGAATCTTTAGGGGCCTGCTTAGGATGAACACAGAATTGATCATGATATGGTAAATACATTAATGGTTAGGCCTACTAACTTATTCTTCATAGTGTAAGTTAATAGCCAAGTTGACCTTCTAAATAAATAATCGATAATTGGCGTAGCCTAAGATGCGTAAGTAGCATTTAACAGTGACAATGTTATCTCGTCGTTAGAGTACAAACTAGTTTAATCTTGTATCTTGGTCATGCTCCGATTAGGCTACAGTTAGATTGAAGCTTAAACAATCTTGTTGTGATGGATTAAAGTACTAGCCAACAGCCTACTTGATGTGACTATAACCTATAAGAAGGGCCACAAGCCCTTTCATACAGAGGGTATAGAAACTGAAAGTTGGTGGAAGATTACTGTTAGGTCAAATTCGTCTCTTAAATCACAACTCTGAATCCCTCTTTTGAAGAGCTAATTATATACCCCAACCAAATCATAGAACAGTAAACAATCCCTATTACAAAACAAAATATCTTAAATATAAATTAAATCACAACATGATTGCTAATTACCTGTAAATGATTTTAAATTTACTTCATCTAATATTATTATTGCATCTTGAGAGGGAATAGTATTTCAACATGCAGGATTATTGTAGTAATACATGTCAGGATTTGGAAGTGGAAATTAGGCAATGCTTCCTCTGAAAATTAAACGCGGAACCAACACAATCGCAATATCACAAAAAATGAACTTAAATAAAAAGTTGGAGTTGTCGTTTATGGTGGATTATTTAAATTATTATGGTGGTTAATGTTTAATGATGCTTAATTAACTTTATGTAAAAAAAGTTAAATCATGGGCCTAACAATTTATTTATTTAGGTTACAGGAACAACACTATTTTCATGATTCAAAAACATTTCATTTGTTCATACTTGGGCATATTTCCTTATTCATTTTTTATATAATACATGTAAGTTAAGTTTATCTATGAAAACTTACTTTTAGTAAGTTAGGCTAAGAAACCTCAAGTAGCATGCCACCCGCATCCAATTATTTTGAGGTCTTCAACAATGTTGGCGGTAGACCCTGGGCATTTGGAGTTCTTCATGATAGCCTCTGTACCGTACTGTAAAGAAGATAAGGTAGTTTTAATTACGGTTGATTGGAATGATGTAGCCTAACTTTAAATTTATAGGCTTTTGCTTGGAACAACATAATTACAGTTCTCAATGTATCACACTAGGCCTGCCTATACTATATCTATTGTTGTTAGTGAAGTGAAGTCGCGAAGTGGGCAATTCAGGGTTAATTAGATAAATAGTGTTACTGTTCATCAGCTGTTCGTAGGCTATGTTTACAAAGTGAAAAGCAGATGAAATTAAGTAGGCTACTGAGTACCGGTAACCTAATTATCCCATTGGATATTAAATATCGGTATCCAGCAAATTTTGATGATGGGCAAGATGAACTCAGTTTGAAATGCAAAAGGTTTACACATATAGGCCTATTTAGGTGTAAGTGGTTAAGAATTATACTATAAAATAGAATTTAAAACAGTAGGCTAGCACACTCTGTGTAGATGGCTCATCCAACTACCTTGGCTATTTTGTTAAGTTATTGAGTTAGCCTACTGATTTAAATAGGCTACTAAACTGGCAAGTCCTGATTGACGGAATGACTTGTAACCTGCTTCAGTTTCCAAAATAAGTTAAGTTAGTACATAATGGTTAGGCTAGAACATTACCTTTTCTTAGGTTTAGACTCCTTATCCAAAAGATAGCCTAACTTACTTAACTTAGACCTACCCCTACGATACCAAACAAGCCTAGCTTAACTTGAAACTGTAGGGTAGGCCTACTTCTAAGATAGCCTAGGCTAAATACTTTGCTGCAATCGTATTAATTAAATCGCAGAAGATACACGTCCTGTAACCGAACGTAGATTAATTTAATCGTCCGGCAGCAACCTCACCGGGTTGTGTTGGCCCGGAACACTATAACCACAACGATACGACGTACAGCCGTATTCAGTGGTGTAGTGGATAGAGTAGCCTACTCGGCTGATGAACAAGAGTTATCTAGATCCAATACCAACGGAGGCACTAAGTTAACTTTTTGTTAAAGATTTACCTAGCTTAGAATGCCATTTCTTCTTAACTGTACATCTTTTGTTAGAATTTGAGGCATTTATAATTTAATTTTATGAACAGAATTTAACCTGCATTCGATTTTTTCACTATCAGCAAGTATGTTTAGGCTAGTTAGGTTAGGTTATGACAGTAACTGCCGGACGCGTATCCTCTGCCTAATTAAATAGCCGTGGGCCAGGAGTCTAAGATATGAAATAGGCTTAATGTTACCGATTAATGTTAAAGCTAAGTTATTTGCTTAGGTAAAATGATTAGTACTTGCCTGAGTTCTGTTGAAATTGGATTTCCCGGTTGAACTAGATGCTTCTAGGCCTGAACACTTGTTTTTAAGTAAAACTAGCTAAGTTAGACTAAAAAAACTGTTAACAATTGAAACTACAAAATCAAATGAAGTTATTAATGTAATAACACATCTTAATTTTTCAATAATTGGATGATTATAAATAATTCATTCAAGGAAAAGTCGGCTGGTTTTTTGGCCATCACAAATAAATAACGCAAACATATATAACAAACATTGGTAAACATAAACATTCAACCATATGAAGCAGACCAGCAGACAGGCATGACAACAAAAATTATTAATGGACAAGGACCAAAGAAAAAGATAGAAGATAGAGGCACCTTTACTGTTGGAGTCAACTAACTGCTTTTACAAACTTGCCTTATAAATAAAGTGTACATAAATAAAGTTTTTAATGTAGCTTGCCATAATAAAATGCCTTTTTAAAACAATATGACATTCTGTTCATCCGAAAAGAAACTTTCTTGACTTTTAAAGAAAATAGCGTTGTTTTACTACACGACTTTAAGCACTTATTTGACACTTGTATTCAATGGAACTCTACAATTTGATTAGGCTATATTATGTACTTTTTTCACACTGTAAAATATGTGAACTATAGCTTAAATTAATGTATACCACAATTAATGTAGGTTTTCGTACGAGTTGTATAAGTAAGTCTCAAAAGATTTGTTTTTTCATTTTCACTTTAAATTATATACAGATTTTTGATCAGTGTAGTTGATAAATTATTTTATGTCATTTTTACGGCAAAATGATGTAAACATTTTGATAATAATTTTTGTTCCAGTTGGATTATGAAGTTGGTTTTGATTATCATACTAGCACAAATTATATTTCGTCATTAAAAATAAAGGATACACAATTTTTTCATTGAAATATGTGATAAAAAAAATTGACCACAATTTGACGTCAATATGACGTCTACAATTTGATCAGGACGTCAATTTGACGTCTTTTACTAAATTTTTACGTCAAATTGATGTTATGTGCTATGTGGGTAATGAATATAAGAACATTGAAACAAAATGATAAGTTATTCGAATTAATAAAAATCATAACCCGCACGACAGACATAAAATAGACCTTTAAATAGTCATATTATAGCCTATCAAGGAAAATCATTCACGTCTACAAACCCGGTCTACCAAATACGAACTTGATAATTTTATTTACAGCATTTCATATATTTAATGCTATTTATTTGAAAAAGGAGCAAATTACGGCCTATGAAAATAAATATTTCATCAACAAAAGAACCGAACGAACTATCTTTTTACAAACGAATAAACAACAATTAAATTAGAATATAATAACGCATTTTACACGCTAATAATAATCATAACAATAATAATAAACATAGCCTACTTCTCAATATACTTTTATTTAACATCAACCCCATTGCTTTTACTGCGAATTATTCATTGGATACGATATTATGGTACCGATAGGATCGTAGGTTCTACACTTTCGGCAACACTGGCCAACAATCTTCGTGCTTTGCTCCTATTGGCCGGCGCGCGACGCTTCTGATTGGAAGTTAGCGAGTTCCGCCGAGGGACCGAGTTAGCGAATTCTGTCCTAGTACGGAAGTCACTAACCCGGCTCTAGAGCGGGTTAGCGGGTTCCGGAGTTAGCCAATTCCGAAACCGAACAAGTTAGCGAGTTCCTCTCATCGACCAAATTTTAAGATAGGACATTTAACATGGGGTTAGCGAGTTCCAGAGTTAGCCAATTCCGCGGACCCGATAAAATCCATTGGTGAATTGGCGGGGATCGAATCCGGGACCTCAGGGACTGAAGTCCCGCGCTCTAACCACTACGCCAGCTCGCTCCCCTGTGTAGTTTACATTACAGCTATAACTCTTCATGTCGTACCTACACTTAAAGTTCCCAAAGGGACGAGATATTGTGTGTTTTATGTCTTATCTGTGTTGGCCTACCTATACTTCCTCTAAGGTAATGGTAAGCCAGCTACTATTCCTTCTTCGTTTCTACATATTTCAACTATTAATTGCTAAAATACACTATCAACGTTATACTTTGTGTTGAAGTTATAATTCATCTGAATAAAATTATATTCGGAGGGTGTAAAATATTTGGAATATAAGTATGTCTGGTGTTTTATCTTGTACAAACAAGTTTCCATACTAGAAACATAACCCGACCAAAATATTTATCGTGTTTGGTTGCAGTTCTTCAGACCGGTAAATCCAGTGAACATTCGCATAGTGTATGATGACAACGGGCGGCCAAGTGGAGAGGCGGATGTAGAATTTGCATCTCACGACGACGCACTGCGAGCCATGTCTAAAGACAAGAGTCACATGCAACATCGCTACATCGAACTCTTCCTCAACTCCACCCCAGGCGGTGGCGGATATGGTGAGACAATATACATTTACAAGTAGCCTAAATCAAGATTTGTAATAGTACATTATGTTACTAGTCCTTTAAAATAGGTGTTAACCAGACGAGTGTGGTCGTCCCCGTGGGATACGAAGTTGAGTGCAGGATTACGATACGAGTCCGGTAACACATTTTGTATGAGTGACGTACAATATTTTACGCCATACTACTCTAAGCTAACTGAACAATAACGAATCTCTGTACAAATCCCCTTTTATCCCCACCAACTAAAGGACAATCACTACTCATGGTTATGTTTTTAAATATAATCAGCTGGTTGGTGTCAGATAAAAACTCATTACAGTACAGTAGTATGTAATGCAACCTCATTTGATTAAGCTGGTGGCAAACAGCTGTTTTCTTGATTAAATCCTTGCGTGGGAAGTTCATTAAAACAGTGTAGTGTGGCGTAATAGTTATATTACGTTACTAGTCCTGAAAATAGGTGTTTACTGGAGTAGTGTGAGAAATGTCGAGTACAGGATTACCATACGAGTCCGGTAAACACATTTTGGAAGAGTGACGTACGATATTTTACACCATACTACTAAATCTGTACAAATGCGTATATATTACCACTGACTAAAGGACTAACAATTACTAGTCATAACCTCTACAAGAAGTTATGTTTTTGTTTATAACCACTCATTGCCAAATACAGTATAATCAGCTGTTTGGTGTCCGGTAAAAACTCGTTACAGTACAGTATGAAACCCCATTTGATTAAGCTGGCGGAAGAGTATGTGTGTGGTGAGACGTAAAAGGTAGCTTGTTAAACTTATCAGAAAAGATAAAACTACTTGACTTCCCCCCTTATAACCAACAATCATTCCATGACTCTATTTTAAAAATCACTTTATGTTTCTGGTAAAAAAGTACTCCAAAAATCTTTGATTTATACTCTTTGTGAAACTTCACAGTTTAATTGTCTTTGAAATTTTGTGCTGTTTGTTGCAGGGATGGGGAGCAAATTCCGAGGTGGTGGATATTCAAACAGCAGCAGCAACAATCTAGGTTTTAAGTACAGCTCTTTTTGAATGTAATTCATTTCTAAAATAAGGGTATAATAACACTAATTATTAAAGTGATTTGTTCGGATTGTAACAGTCTAGCACAATAGAGATCGGTGGCTACAGGGTCCGTAGTGTTGTTCTGTAACGTGAAACTAACTTCAAGTTTTTCTCTTTTGTCCAATCATTGAAGACTAGATCAATTAACTGTTGCCGAGACAGTTTGTATATTTCGTATTAACTCAAATGTGTTTTAGTTTTAATCTTTTCTTTTTTTACTATGTGGATTTTTGTTGTGATCACTTAAAAATAAATCTTGTCATAAGTATGCTGTTGTCTATTTATAACTGGCCCGTAAACAAAAATATACTTGCATTCCTTTTTAAATGTACACTAGATAGCAATCACTACTCATGGCCATATACTTAGCCTACTGGTACTCACCTTATAAATACTTAAACACACTTACTATCTTAGTGTGTGTTCAACTGGAACTGTGTTTTTAACAGCAACTCACTGGCCACCATATTGGACTTAAAGAAAACTTATCTTCCTTAAATGATTTTTTTTACATGGAAAGATAATAAAAAATTGCTATTTAAATTAATAAAAAGCTGGTATTTTCAAGCCCCATCTTCAAACTCTCTAAGAGTCCTCCACTTCTTTCTTGTCCTCCTTAGACACATGCTGCTGGCCCTAGTTGAAAATAAATTAGTGGGAAACTTTGGACTTGGATAATGATTTTAAATGGGAGGCTGAAACTAACTAATTACAGCATTGTTTCCCACTAATTTACCCCTTCCTACTGTAGAGTGTAACAATAACGATTTCCCGTAATAGTGAGTGGGAGGTGTTAACGATTTTGCCGCGATCGCAGGCAATTCTTTTCCCCCCTCGACTCCTGACTGGATCCGCCACTGAACATTAGACAAGACGATCAAAGACTCAGCAAGTATCATCTTAATTAAAATATGTAAGGTGTAATTTAATTTTATGACATAATCAAGATGTTTGCAGCTAAAAATCAAGAAAAAATCTATTTTAATTATTGAGGAACTTCATGTATTGAGATTTAATAACTTAAATAAAAGTATCATCAAAATCCATAGTTGCATAGTGAAAGGGTGGCAAATTTAGGACTTCCCCCCTAGAAAAATGTGTAGCTGCGGCCCTGAGCATGATCAGACTAGGAGAACAGGATTTAATGGGATAACTAATGGGCGTTTTAAACCACAATGACAATGTACGGCTTAAAAATCAAATAATTGAGTTTATTAAAGTGTTGTGCATTTAACAGAGTGTTGTGTTTATTTGTTTAACAGAGACAATTTTTAAGAATTGTAAATTTAAAATTAGTTTATTATTCTTTTATAGAGTAAGTTAACTATTGTAGTTATTCACAAAATATGCAAAAAAAACCCTAAGACTGACAGAATTTGAGGTAGGTTTATGGGTTCAAAGGGAAAAACTCTACACAGATTACAAAATCTCAAAGAAAAAACATATTTATTTATTGTATAATGTGGCTTTTACCGTAAAGCTAAACAACATTCCCATTTCCTAAAGAGGTTTTCATTGAATACTAAACAAGAAAATAATATGCTATACCTCTGATTAACAAAAATACATGCATCACTTGTATTATGTTATTTGTCAAACAAACATGCAACAGCAAGTTTCACACAGTTATTTTACTCTCCCTTAGAAGAAAGAGTTTTTACTGTAATAAAGATTGGCAAATGGCCATTATCATTAACCAGTTCCTTCAATTCATCAATAAGAAAAACAGCTGCATTGGTCTCCATGGACTCATCATCCTCATATGGTAGGACTTCAATCAAAGTTCTATACACAGTTTGCTGACCACGCTTGTACTCAACTATAACTCTGTACTCAACACTAGATCTCTCATGTTTCACATGTCTGAAGCTGTGATAAAGATAGTTTCCTTTCTTCCAACATTTCATAATAAAATGTTGGTCTTCAACTACATGATTGTAATAAACACATTTCCAATTGCCTAGGAAACTGGTGATTGACAAGTTTGTAATGACCACATTTAGTTTGTATTTAGATGTTTGAGAGGTATGGATGTTGATGTGTTCAAACCACTCGATGACGGCTCCAGACCATTGACAATTGGCAACTCTACACTTTATCTGTCTGTAAACACAATACTTGGAGTGATTATCCAAGAAGGTAACAACCCCACACCTTTCATTAGGACAAATCTGTGGCAACGCTGACAGCAGCTCCTCTAATACCCTGGGAGAAACGTCACTGAACGGTTGACGACACACATGGCAGTTGGCAGCATTCCTACACTGGCCGCAAGTTACGTGTCCGTTGACACACAAGACGACTGGCGCTCTGACCAACTCCAGGCACACTGGGCATTGAGCGATCCTCTCTACCCGATCCAGATACTGTTTTACATCTTCATCCTCCTGGAAATAGAATTGTTTCAGAAAACACAAGTTAACGACCTTCAACATAACTTTATTTTGTGTATTGCCTTCTGGTTTACTTCAGATTACTTCAAAAACGATATATAAGAGGTTAAGTTACCTTTATTCTGTCCGAGTAATCCTAAAGTCGTCTGTAGGGCGACCGGTTTCAATGTCTATGGCGTCATTGTCAAGCTGGCTTAAAATCGCAACCTCCTTAGACCAACCATAGACGTCGAAACTGGTTGCCCTACAGACAACTTTAGGATTACTTGGACAGAATAAAAGAAAACTTAACCTCTTGCATATAACTTCAATATAAAAAATTGGATTATACACGAGGCAGTCTGGAACACACCCTATGAAACCTCTACTTAGAAATATTTGTCTTGATAAGAAACCTTGCAGAAAACTATTCATTGTAAAATTGCCATTTAAGGTAGAACTATTTAAAAACTAAAAGAACTAAAGGAGGGGGGACTAAAGGGAACTTTCTATGTTCTTTTACTTACGTTACGGATAAATTTGCTATGGATATTTTATTTTACCAAAGGGTTCTCATCTGTTTGTTCTATTATTATGTTTGGTTTGTTTAAGCTAACCTTAATAAAGTTATTTTAACACAGAATAAATATCACTATATGAATGTAAGATGTTAAAAATAGTCCCCGTCAGTAGACCACAGCACAAAAAGCTCATTGTAAAACTACACCCACAAAATTTAGGAGGTTTGAGTGGAATCCATATCCCCTCCACCCAAGCCTTACCCTGACGGTGGAACAACAACAGTTTGAAATAACATCAGACAGCCGATAATCTTTTTAGCAAATTTCCCATATAAGCTATTACCATAAGTCTCATGGTAAGATACAGGACCTATTTGAGTGAAAATTTAAAAACGTACGTTTTCATGTCCCTGGCCTTTTACTTCGTAGATACTGGATTTGTAGTTTATTATTATGTGTTTTAATATTTTTTGGGACGGGGGCAACATGTTACACACATTTATTTAGTTTTAAATAGGTTCTAGGTATTTTTTTCGTATTTTTAAAGTCTCGAAATTCACGACCATGACGTGTCCCTAGGGTACATTTTCCAACTTTCACGCTGTTTTTAGACTAATTATTCATGCCAAAATATATAAAGTCATATTTTTATGTCATCAATGGTTATTAAACTTACAAAAAAGGAGCATATTATAATTTTATTGTCATTAAAAACTGACTACCATGACAAAATAAGTCTGTCCCTCGATTTGGCGTCACGACCATTTGGGAAAAATTTTCAACTTTGGAGCACGACAGTGGCAAGCCTGGCGTCAATGGAGTCAGTTGGTTTTAGAGACTAGTTCGGGGTGTACGTCAGGATTGTAGTGCCGGTCGTTTCGAGTTGAAAGGAGGAATTACAAGATTAATAAAGGAAAGATTGTGTTTTTTGTAATTTTGGTGTGTCCATGACCGTACGTAGTCATTCGATGAAGTAGACATGGTGTTAATTTTTGTTTATAAGATATTTCAATTGCTAGATTAACCTAGAAGTCCACTTTGTATCCTCGAACATGAGGTGCAGGGCTACCGCCAGAACAGAGCCAAATAACACGTAATATCACGACCAAAGTTTCACGACCATCGTGGGTTTTTTCACGACCAGTCCAGCCTTATGGATTATAATGTGTTTGGTCGTGACAATAACTTTAATATAATTGTAAATTGAACAGTTTAGTTCAATTGAAACACATATTTTTATTATAACTAACAGGATAATTGAAGGATTGTTTAGAAAGATTTAGATTTTTCCAGACAATTCACGACCGTACCGCTTGTCCCTGACCATCACGTTTATGATTTCTATCATAAAAATTAAAAAAAATTAAAATATCGTCATATTTTAATGTTTTATACACAAAAGATGCACACCTCTATACAAACATAACGATTTTTCGGGTCTCAGGTAAGTTTTTTCGGAGTTATACAAACTTAAAAAGATTTTATTGGCTTTTTTTCAATTTTTTGAGTTTTATTATTTTTTTCTAGAAAGACCAAATATACCAAAAGCTCAGTGACCTTTTTATTGTATAATGGTCATAAAAGTAAATTAGTTTATAGCAAAACATAGCTATAAAAATAATATTAACTATTTTTAATATTCATATAAACGTCCGTTATGGTCGTGACAGGATTTTGTGTTTTTCCACTAAAGATGCTCTTTTAAAAAGAAACTACCAAAGATATTGCGTTACCATGGACATTTTATGAAACTTCAAATGTTAATGAAATAAAAAAAATAATAAAAGTTTTGAAAAAAGGGGAAAAAAATTTGCAAAGTGCTTTTCCTGAAAACGTACGTTTTTAAATTTTCACTCATTTACTATTTTGTTTTAATCTCCCCAGAGGCCAAAAACACTATCTGCACCCTTGATAACAAGTAAGTGTAATTTTCAAATCGCCAAGAACTTATTTTACCCCTAATCACATTGCAAACCTCGATATGAAGGCAACCTTGATAACAAGTCTTATTTAATTGTCCCCATGAGACTCTTGTAGTCTAGGTTCCACTGATACATATCCTATACTTTTATACAGGGTGTTCAACAAAGGTGGGGACATATTTTACATAGTGATTCCTTGGGTGAAAATAAAGAGAAATTCAAGAATAAAATTTTGTTTATCGCTTCGTTAACCAGATATCCGCCATTTTGTATTTTTACATGAGCATTTTTATCTTTGAATTTTTTCAACCGATCTTTATGAAACTTGATATGTATGTTAAGGTTAAAAAGATCCATCTTAGAAAAAAAAACACCTTGATTCGGCTAAAATTTAAAAATGGCAGCCATTTAATTTTTTTTACTTAAATTACAAAGAAATGGCAGATTTTATGA